CGCGGAAACTCCATCCATTTCCGTTCACAGTTATCCCGAAACGGTATGCTGATCTCCTTGTTGTTTCTACCTTTTAGAAACTGGCATGACCCCGCGGAATAGGTCAACCTGCCCTCTTGCTGCATTCTTTCCCAGTCCTTACAATCCCAAAGGAAACAGCGACACGTGAGTTAGGCTTCCACATTTTCTATGACAAAATACTTTCATTTCCTTTAAACACACACACACACATATATTTGGTATTGCTTCTCTCCTTTTCTTTCAAGGCACCCTTCTCTACCTCTTTCCCTCTGGCACCCTTCATTTCTCCAAAGCGCCTACACTTTGCCCACATGGCGCCCACAGTCGCACTCCTTTAATGTAACCTCTTTCGGCCTCTTGCGATAAAGTCTTTATTTATGGCCAAGTGACACTGCGAAACAGTAGGTGAGGAACACACATAATCTCTCTCTCTCTCACACATACACGCTTACACAGACACAGACACACACACACTCGGAAAGGAGAAGGAGAGAGAGAGAGAGAGAGAGAGAGAGAGAGAGAGAGAGAGAGAGAGAGAGAGAGAGAGAGAGAGAGAGAGAGAGAGAGAGAGAGAGATTAACCGAGATGCATTTCACAAATAGCATATTCTTTAACCTACCACGCGGATATGAGTGTGCAACCGTGGTCGGTAGAAGCAAAGCTAATGAAAGCAGAAGTTACAGCCTCCCGCAGCCCACTTATCTCTGTTTCATACCACGCCGCTGGCAGTGTGACACCAGGCATGACACCAATCATTTTCATGAGTGGTCAGTAACAACGGCCAGAAGGGGATTTCAAATCAGTTAATTGGCCAACAAGGGATGCCATATTCGCTCTTATTACTAACCGGAAAAGGCGCTGTTTCAACGGCCGGGCAATACTCGCTTTCGGGGCAACGCCCGTTAACGGCCTCAGGAGCTGTGGCAAAAGGCAAATGGCAGGTCTGGTGTTTCGTGACGGGGAAAGCGAGTCCCCTGAACGCATTGCTTCGTTCTGATCAGCGAAAATACCAAAATATAGGATGTTAAAGCCCACGAACAATAAAAGGAACATGAGTGAAAATAAATAGCATTTTGTGAAACAGTAACTCTGACCTTCAACCTAATGTCCAAATTGCCCAAACTCAAATTAAGCAATAAAACACAAGAACAATTCCAACGGCCAAGGAAGGGCGTGTAGGAGAGATACGAGGGGAGGGAAGAGGGCGGGACGGGGCGGGGGCAGGAGGAGGAGGAGGGAAGGGCTGGAAAGGGCAACGGCAACTGCCAGGCGGTAAGTGTTCAGCTCTGCGCCTGCTGATGATGAGCGTCTGTGTGCGAAGGGGACGTGGCTTTTAGCTTCCTGCGCACGTCTGACGCTAGAGAAGGTTTCTACAGGTTTCCGGATGACCAGATTTTAATGAACTAAACCACGTTAAAATCTAAATGACATTATTGATACCGATCACATTGTTTATATAAAGCGACTAACACTTGCACATACATTCATGTGGGCGAACCCCGTCTCCAAATATCATGTCTCTGAGCCGAGTAACCGCGCGGATACACTAGAGTGCCGCACAAAAGCAGCCTGCGCGCAGTGCTGCCGCGGCCACGTGGTCCGCGCTGGCAACGACCGTTACGAAGTTACAATTTGTACTTGGTTGTGATTTAAACGCACATGACGTTGTTGAAAAATGCATTTATCTTTAACCTTAAAGGAAAATACTGCATTTTCCATTGTGTATATAAAAATCATTACAGGCACAGCCTATAAGGATATGTAGTAGGATCCACCGTGGGATCCTCTCTTCACGTCTTGTTACATTTTTATTAATCAGCTTTGATAACATATGTAGCAATGAGTCAAATAAACGAACATTTGCGTAAATACATACATAAATACTGCATAAAATAGTACTGCAAATCCTTGATGATACTTGACTGCCCATTAACATTCGTTAATAAGGACACAAAGTAATATAAAAGTGCGAAATCAGGGTATCAACATCCGCGGACTAATGGCAGGCGTTGGACCGAGGCATTCAGAGATGAACAGAAGCGTCTCCCCTGAGGATACAGTCACTACTTCCAAGCGTGCGCGGTCTTCACAAATCGATGGCCATTAACAGAGACACGGCCTTTAAATCCCTATGGTGTTTACTTCTCACGCGAAGAACATAAATCCAATGTTTTATTCACAATTACGATCCGACTGTATGAAACAGTCCTGCGTACTTTCATCAACGTAACAGCTCCGGGACCTTAGAGGCACCATATCCGCAGCCGGTGAGGTCAGGGGGTACCCTGGGGGCGGAGCATTTGAGGAAAAGCCCCCACGCCTTGTGTACCTTCCGCATTTGAACAACTGGTTCGGCGGAAGTCGCAGGTCCGCTCGCCTACGTTCTCTGGCCTCCCAGGAAACCATACGGCAACGCGCTGGGTTTGGTTGTTTGAATGACTGCTCGTTCTAGTCGTCCGTGTGGTCCTTCGCGCTTTGTTCTATTCGTCTTTCTCTGTTTATCTTTTCCCCCTTCCCAGTCTCTCTTTCGTGCGTGAGTGTGCAAAGTGAATAAGCAGATGCGTTTTAATAGGCTTTATTCAGTAAGATAATATCCACTTTCTGCTCTTCCTAATTTTGGAAAGTTTCGAAGGTCATTCAGGAAAAAAATTAAATCAGAGAGAATTCCACGATTATATGACAGTGTCATGTGATGCAACCATAAACAGTGATACGTGTAACGGCGATCTGCCCTGGAAGATAATGTTTCAACACTGCGTAACGGCGGGAAATCAACACCTGAGTTAAGGTGATTTAGGCAATTTAAGAGGAGTGCGTATAGCTCAGCGTCTCAGCCAGTCCAGTTGTGTCAACGAAGGGACAACAAGCAGAGCATGTCAAGAAAGCAGCCAAGACAAATCCCCAAATGTTTCCTTTCATCCATCTCATTTTCAATGTTTTGCCTTAGCTATCTTTAAAAACAAAATCATCAACTTTAAAATGCTGCTCTTAAATATCCAGATCTTCAGATGGCTTTACAGGTCCTATTTTTACATTGCTCTTCTCCTGCGTCATGAAAATGAGGATTTTAGTCGTTCCGGAAGTATTAGCAAAGTCCTAAAAATGTCCACGCACTCAGCCCGCCAAGTTGCGTCTTGGATAGTGACGTGCTGTAATGCAAGGCGCGGGCGTGAGCAGTGCTGGATTAGGGGGAGGGTTTGCGGGGACAGTGTGAGGGTCAGTGCCATGTACTTTTCCATTTTAGCACTGTTATATTAAGGCCATTGATCAAAATGTTACCACCCCAAGTTTACACTTCAATTGACAACGCACTTCCGATAGAGAGGAAGAATGTACTGCGGGGAAATTACAAAGGTTTGGCACGAAACAGCGAGGCACGTGATTCCGATCAACAAAACACCGCAACGCCGGAGACCGTTGGACGCCCGGCAGCGGAAAGCGGCAGCGGAAAGCGCGATGATTGCCACATCCGAGCTGCCTTCGCGCCCGATGCGAGGGGCTGCGTCGGGAGCTGGTTCAAATCAGGCGGGGGAGGGGGCACTTCACGCCTATATCATTAGTTGCATTGCTTCTAGTCAAAACTGGTCCATGGCTAGTTGGGCTTAAACGCAGGGTGAAGAGACATGGCTTGTGAAAGGGTACGGCAGAGTAGTCGCAGGTTGGAGGCGAGGGTAAGGCTATTGAATGATTTTCACAATATCTTTCGGATTATGTAAATCAATTAGGTTTGCACGACAATAAAGGGTCCCATTGATGGGTAACAGGAATGAAGACACGGTCATGCGCTGCGCCATTCATGAATTCTCTGCGGAATAGGCCGGGCCCGTCTGCACTCGCCTTTACTAAAGCTTAACCTAAGAAAACGATAAATCTAGAGAAAAACAGTCAGTAGCCAAACTTCTCAAACTATAGCCTGGCGTTTACGCTGGCCGACTTTGCTCATGATACTTCCAGTTTTCTAAACTTTTTAAAAAAACTATCTTGAACATCTTCATGCATGTGTAAGAAAAAAACATGTTTACTTCGTCGAGAAAGAACTTTTGTTGTATTTTAAGAATGTTGAAATGTAGTGTTGCTCATGTTTTGAGTACCATCTTAATGCTCGAAATAAATTATTCGATTAAACGATGTCATTGATTGATAACATACGTTTCTCTACATACGTTTCTCTCAGCAACAGTTTAACAAGGATTTACGTAATATCTTTCGTGTATTATTCTGGAGTAAAACATACACACGCAGTAAAAGATGATCACAGGTGTCCTTACGGAAGGCAAAAACTCGTCATGGATACCAGTCCAGGGAATTACTGAAAAGTGAACTTATGGGTCCCTGTGTCGGCAACGAAGAACACGGAGACATCCCTGGACCGGAAGACTGAAGAGCGATCACTGAGAGCTCCATCGCTCGCCACATTCCACTTTCTGAGGAACGGCTTTCGGAATCAGGAATCCTTCTCTTCGACAAGAGATGTATCCGACCACTTTCACCCGTGGGCGGCGAGGCTCGCATGCCGGAGGTCCATTTGGGCGCCAGGAAAGGGC